CCTTTCAAACATTAAAACCAGAGCTTTGATTGTAAATGATTAAGAATCCTGTCAACGCGAGTTTACTGACGTGGTCAGATCCCAGTAGGACACGTCCAACAAACCATATTTTTATTTGCAACGAAAACGCAGTCGTTAGAGCTCATCATTTAAATCTAGCGAAAGAAAATAAGTAGCAGTTACTTATGTTCTGAGTATATTTTAATAATAATGTGTCAATATTACTAAGAATGCTGTTAGGATTTTAAACAGAAGCTGAAACACTATCCTGCTATGCTCAATCCATTTCCATCATGATGAATATCGGCCACCGACCAGATGTCAAACGGGCATTTCTTCGGTTACAAGGTGACGAGGAAACTCTCATACCTCAAATGCCAGCGGATACTTAAAACGACAAATGCTATAGCCATATGAAAAACCAGCCCGGTCTTATGCGTTCATTTAAACACCATATTAACCAAGCCTCAGTTGAAGTCCAAGATTTCCAACCACCATCCCATGACATCACACTGCTGCGAAGAAGCCAAAACACGGGGCACCGGTGTGTCCATGCAGGGTGTATAAAGGACTGTAACGAAATGGCAAAGGAATATCTAATGTATGCTCTATCTTCTGACGAGACATAAGACCAGACTTCCTTTTAAAATCCAAACAGAGGCTATATACGCGGTTTGGAGACTCCACGGACGTGCTCTTTCAAGGTTTTGCATTTGACAATATCCAACCTCAAGAAAGGTGAAACAAATTAACTATTTTCACCGATCCCCATTTTTAATCCGCAGAAAAACTACCCATACAGCTTGTTTGGTATACTTTGCCTGTGTATTTAATCTCGTGGTGTAGGCATTTTTGAAAAGCCAGAGAAATTCCAGTCTGGAAGTTACAAATCAAATAAGTATAGTCAAACAGGATTGATTTTTATATGCGTTAATTTCAGGTGATGGCTCGTTAAGAGTAAATATATTTTACAAGGGACGCTTGTTCAGCAGTAAAGTTGCTAGAGTGAGTGGGAGATTTAAACCCCCAAAACTCTGGGCTTCCCCTTATCTAAGGCAAAAAATGCAGTCTTAAAATATCCAGGGTGTGAACATCCAAGTCTCCATGGAAATTGATACTAATTTAACCTACGAAAATAACACAACCTATTTTGCTACCGCTATTTTATGCTTTTTGGTAATCGCAAACTCGTTAAAATGAAATATTTTATTTCAATAAGCAAAAAAGATCATGACCCTTCTTTGGGAATAGAAAATTATTCTACAAAACCATGTATTGCAGCTCACCTAGTTTACCCCAAATCCAATAGCCATAGAAGCTAGAAATTAGCTTTGAAGGGAAGAGGAGTGAGAATGCCATGTCAGCTATAGCTAAGTTCACTGTCAACATATTGGAAGGTGTTCGCAGGTGTTTGGAGCTGAAAATAAAGGCACGAAATTAGTTTACACAGTTGCGTAATTGAATATAATAAATAAAAGCATTGCTGAGTCCTTTGAATGCATTTGCATGCAAATATTGTACGAAAGAGTATTGTTTATTCATATCACTTTACCTTATGGATAATGCTATGAAGAAAAAAATAAGCACCACTTGTTCCCGTAAAGCTTGTTATTGCCACAAAAGTCGCTCGTTATAAAGTGCGGCTCTGTAACTGAATCTCCGGAGGAGACTTCCATGAATATGTGCTTGCTCTATAAAACCATACTCTTCGCGCCACTGTGTCCGTAGATACCCTCGTAGGTTTTGTCATCAGGACTGCTGGGCACAAATCATTATCCACCTGATAATTCGTACCGCAGCTCAAAAGTTAACTAAGTATAGCTCATGTTGCTTTCCGTACTACTCACCGTATAACACGGTACTGAGATGACCTAAAGATTCGCCTTTCTACTGCTTCGGTTTGACTGCCCTCCCCATCCCGCTTGCTTCTGTGTTCCTCTTCTCTGCGAGAGGATATTTTTGGGGAATAGTCGAGCCAATAAAGAACACAGATCATCGCTCATTTCGTTTGGAACTTTCTACGCTAGGCTCTTGCTGTCATTCGCAAACACAGTGTCCTCTCATTCACCTCTTTGCATACTTTGAGAATACAGTGAACGATCCAGGAGAAGAGCTGAAGATATACCCCAGAATAAGAAAGTACGATGACTGAACCATGCGGTTTATTAGACTGACCTTCTTCTCCAAATCCACAACCATCAGAAGAGTCAGAGGTAAGGGTGCTGAGGGCGTAGGAAATGCAATAGTTATCAGCACAGCAGTTGCCATGTCGCCACTCGCCCACTCAACTTAGCAGCTTGCGCACTCATCGCTGGTGGTTATACTTGACGGGAAGATTGCTAGTTAGTCCTGAGTAATCTTACGGTTTCTCCGACGTAGTTGCTTTGTCCACAACTGCACCAGATCTGGTAAATGACGCCAGCCTTTTCCTGCTGTGGCAGTGGGTCTTTCGATCTCACGACCCGGCGCCTGATGGTTGCTTCTGGCCGGCGCGCAAGTAGAATTCCAAGTGGGGAGAGCAGACGGCTGACCGCCTCCGATACATTCTTCACGGGCAGAAGAGCTTGCTTAACATTTGGGCCAGTTGAAATGGCTTCTTCTCTCGTTTGCGTATGCATTCGTTGACAAAATTGCGCTGGTAAACATTCGCTCTTAGTACCAGTCGAAGATATTGTAATTCGGCAACTTTGTCTTCCGCTTCGCTGCAATGCGTCTCAACGCGCCGGTATAGCGCTCTTACGCAGCTGCGTTTGTGACTGATTGGGAGATTGCTAAGGTAGTTTGAGACTTGCATAATTTTGATTTCTTTCCTTTACACTTTAGTTTTTGGGCCACCAACGTCTTTCGGCAAACGAGGACATCCAGGAAGGCCAGCTGGTTGTTTTTTCCTTCCTCCATTTTTAACTGCATGTCCATTAAAGGTGGCATTTAAACATTCCTTGAATGTCAGCACTTGATCCCACTCAGTTGCGACGTTGTTGTCCACATACCGAGCCCAGAATTTTGGTCTGTGGTGTCGGAAAACGAGCCGTTCCAACCGTAACACGACCGCCTCTGCTATGAGTCCGGAAATGGTCGAACCCATGGGCATGCCCTTCACCTGCTAGAAGATAGTTCCGTTACAGATGAAGTACGTTCTGAGACAGAACTTTAGGAGCTGGAGTATGTGGGCGTGCCCGAGCGAT